CAGCCAATCAAATTCATGGAAATCGCACGTGGATTATTCTAGATGTTCTAGAATGCGATTTCCTAATTTGGTATATCGTCAGACTGTAATACAGTAATGTATGTTAATATTATATTCTGAGGTTCAGAACGATCAAAAATCATCTGATCGCGGATTTTTTCTGCCATCACTATGTTTACCTCACCCTTTACAGTTTCGTCACATTTCATCAGTTTCGTCATTTCGTCATTAAAATTTTAATTGACAAAAGACGAAACTAGGTTTCGTGTTTCGTCAGCGCGAAACCTCGAGGTTTCGTCTAACAACTATAGTCTGGTCCACGATTTTCTACCTGGGCTTGGTCTTTTGGACCAAGATAAAACCACGACGAACTGTAAGAACTACATCCGTTATAAATAGAGATGAATCAGTCCGGTCAGTGTTTAATAAGATTGGTCCATTAATGTTTTTTTAGTCCAGTCTCAGTCCCGAAACGATTTCATTTTAAATTTAATTAGCCACTTTTTTTTTTCAAATCCCCAAAACCGAGTAACCATGGCCTTATTCTATCTTTCTATAAAAGCCAACCTATTTTTAGAAATAGATGTAATGTATTTATAGCATTGAACTGTTATTATTAGCAAATAAAGTGTAAAATTTGAAATATAAAAAATATTTGTGGAAAAAAAAATAGATACATGTATAATAATAAAGTTATGTATAACGTAGTCTTTTAACTTTAAATCACATAATACAAATGTACAAATTTTCTGGACGTTCTTATGAGGATTTTCTGATTTATTAATTGTAATGCAGCAAATTAATTAGTCGAGAACGAAACGGAGGACTTATACCTATTATGCAAATATAAAGTTTATTACATAATATATATATATATATATATATATATAATAATAATAATGTTAACGTTAATTTTTAATTGTTCCCACGGACCATCAATCATATTTGTCTCGTGATAAATACGGGTAAACCGTAAATGGTTTATTTTTCGACGATATATTATTATGTGGGGCTACACTAACTTACTTGGGTAATTTAATATTGTGGAAATTTTCTAGTGAAGTAGTCCGTTCCATAGTAAAAATTTTTAAAATTTTCATTATATTGTCGTATCTAAAGTTACTATCTATCTGAAGTTGCTTTCAGGGGCTTAATTTTAGTCAGATCAACTTTATATATCTAAAGTTGCAACTTCAGATAGATGGTAACTTTAGATACGACAATATCGAGAGGTTATTAGTAAATTCACTATATCGAGAGGATTTTTATATAGACTGGTTTTGAATTTATCTTCATTGTACTATAACGAAAGTTCACTATAACGAGAGTGACTTGTATTATTAATAACTTATGTAAGGGAATAGAATGACTTCTATCAAGAAATTGCATCAAAGAAATAGGGTACCAAAGAGATATACCATATCCGTGCGAGAAAATGAAGAAAGTAAATTAAAATATTGGTACCATTGTCTAACTTGCAGTGTTGAGCAGCTTTGAGCGTATGACTATTCCAGTAGCACATGTTTTTTGTGTAGAGTACATCAATGTACCAATTCCTCATTTGATATTAACGTTAATAAATTAACCGATGAAGCCCGAAACGGTTTGTTTTCTTTTAGTGAAACAATAATCAAACACTCAAATTAACAATGACTTCTGGCTCAGAAACAAAGAAAATTCACTATAAATACACCAAGTTAAGATGATTGAGTTATGTTAAGCAGTTCGACGTTTGGCTCTAAATCAAGCAATGATTTTCACTCTTGTAATAAGTTAAAAATACGTACTGTTACATCCGTTTTAAAGAATTAAGAATAATTTTAAAGGAAAGTTATTAACGAATATGCACAGCGAGAGATTGTCGACTATTTAATGTACGTACGTACAACGTACGTATGACGTACGTGCGTAAGTACGTAAACGAAATCACGTCATTAGAGTTAATCAAAAAAAAAAAAAAAAAGAAAGAAAAAAAAGACCCCTCCTTCCAAAGAATGTTATAATTGGTCAGTTTTCGTTAATTTCGTATCAATGCATCAGTTTTTCATAGGTTGTCCTAATGAGGAGTAAATCAATGGTATAATGGGCGTGTTAGGCACGCGATTTAGAAGTTTATGCCAAGTTAGAAAGATTGCTGAACGAGTTTCCATTTCTTGTCTTAGAATTTTCATATGAAGCAATTTAATGTTAAAGGTGCAGTATTTGATAATCAAATGACAGCTCCTATTGTGACTTCAAAATGGGCGAGATTCGAAAGTGGCACACGCTAACACTTTTTCGGTTTTCCGTGTTATGCTATGCGCCACAAACTTTTTATGTATATTTATGTTGATCTTTTCCAGTCTTTAATAAAACTTGTTCTTTTCAACACTTTCTGTTTTCTTGAACGAATTTTTTTTTTTTTATCAAAAATGAAAGAAAACGTCGTTTCGACATCAAATTCGTTTGAAAAAATTTTTGAACAATGTCATGTAGATTTTCATGATTATGATAAATTTTCGGAAATTGGTCCTACTATTGGTTCAGGACCTTCCGGTGAAAATTTTCGTGCTGATTGGAAATCGCATGGAATGATTGTTATGTTAAAAAAATGGAAGGGAAATCTTGATACTGATGATAAATCTGTTATAGATAAATTTATTAGTGAGGTAATAGTTCAATAGTTCGTTTCTTAATTAACCTTTTTTAAAGTGCTAAAACGGATGTCGCTCAACTTTGAATAATACAGTTGAATTAATTATAATGCGATTTTTATATTTTTATTTTATGTTATTTTATTTTTCTTCTAGTTGGAATTATATAAAAAAGTTGATTATCATCCCAATATTTTGAAATTTTATGGAATTACTCAAGGTATTTTTTTCGTCATAGACAGATTAAGGGCATTCCCACAAAGGATTTAACAAAGAGCCTTATTGGTCTGTTTAATCAACTGACCAATCAGATTCTTATCGAATTCATTGTGAAGGGCGCTTGAGAACGCCCTAATTTATCTATATGATCAACTTTTTTTTAATGCATTAGCTAATTTATTAATAATTCATTGGATAGATGTGTGTTCTAAAAAGTACATGTTAATATTTGAACATGCGGATGGTGGAACACTTCGTCGACATCTTCAAAAAAATTTTTCTTCATTGTCATGGAATGATAAATTGAATCTTGCTAGGCAGATAGCGAGTGGTATAGTTTGTTTGCATGATAACGATATAATCCTCGGAAATTTGGTAATTTATATTCTAATCTTAAATTAGTTTTTTTCAATTTATTTTTTTTCTATTACCATGTCTAATTCTTTAACTTTCAGAATTCAAGCAATATATTACTGAAAAATGGCACTATAAAAATATCAGAGTTTGGTTTATCCAAGAACTTCTCGCAAATTAATAGACGTATTTCTGACGTTAAAGGTGATTTAGTGTATATTGAACCTCAAAGTCTAAAGAACGTGCAGTATAAACGAACTTCTAAATCGGACGTTTATAGTATTGGAATATTACTTTGGGAAATTTCAAGTGGCAGACCTCCGTTCTTATCATCATCCTCCTCTTCATCATTGGCTCAATTACAAATGGCTACTCGAATATCAAACGGTGAACGAGAAGAGCCAATTAAAGGAACTCCAAAATCTTTTGTTGAAATTTATCGACAATGTTGGCATGATGATCCTAAGAAGCGTCCCACTATTCACGATGTACTGGAAAAGCTTCAAAATATTGAGATACCCGTTAAAAAGAAAAGCAGTAATGATAGTATTTCAAATAATATGAAACCTAGAATTCGAAGATCATCTTCATCTTCCGAAGGCAAAAGTACATCACCTCCGAATATTACCGAAAATCAGGTTTCAACTTCTGGAAAATTTAAAAAGCTTGGAGTAATAAACACTGAGCTAAGTAATTCGACTTTTAATGGAAGAAGACCATCCCATTCAAGAAGTAATTCATTTCACGAGAGTTTATCAACTCCAACAACGCCAACTTCTCCAAGTCCGAATGGAAATAACAAGAAAATAATAGAAAATACTGATTCAATATTCCTCAAGGAATTATTAAAATTTTTTGCAGACATATTAGAATTAAGCGGTGATTCTGCTGTGATGATCTCTAATATCAAAGAATATTTACACAATCGATCGAGAGAACATAAGTCAACCCTTAAAACTTTGAATCAACATAAAAATAATCCACAATTCGGACCGATCATAGGTTACTTTTACGAGAATTCAATTGGTACTGTTCAAGATAAACAAGCTGCCTTCGCTCTTTATCAGAAATCAGCAGATAATGGTGATCCAATAGGTCAGTATTTCCTTGGTAAATGTTATCAAAATGGAAACGGTGTGACAAAGAATGTATCTCGAGCTATAATGTATTATAAACTAGCTGCTGCTAGTGGATATTCTTTAGCACAAAGTAGGATTGATGGCTTATCAAAACAAAGAAGGCCATCATCTGTTTTAAAAGTCAGTACAAAATGATTTTTAGTGCGTTTAATATGCAACGATTTTCAAAAAAAAAAATATATATATTCTCAAATTATTAGATTATTTTAATTTTGTATTCAATATTTAGAAAAAAATTATTCATTTTATTACCTTTCGCGTTTAATTCCATTTTCGATATCTTACATCCGGAGATTTCATTATTTTGGATAGTGTAAAATATAGTTTTGTGGAAAAAAACTCAGAGTTGTAAATAAAGAATACTTCATAAATTTTTGTTTCTATTTAATCGTGTAGTCTTTTGGTGACATGAAACAATTTAAGCATTTTTTCTCTAAACCATGGGCATATCATTGATATTTGTCACTAAAATTTACGTTCATTGACTTTTGGCGCTACTGTAAAATTTTACCGCTGAAAAATTAACTAGAAGCCGTTTCCAAGGAAAAAAAAAAAAAGACCTACAGATATTAATATATGTATACGTATTACATATTTCTCACGCCGATCGCATCATGTATATTATGTTTATGGAATTTAGGCGTTACTATGGTTATTAATGATGTGGCATTCTCAATCCAAGTCGGAATGTTTATAAATTCGGAGTGACCTAGTTGTATGAGAGCAATGCCTAATTTGTCGCAATTATAATGAATTACGACAAATTACGGCATTGCGTTCACTAGATTAGAGCTGTTACCCAGATCGAAAAGTACCAATGTAGAAAATGAAAATTACGAGCAAGTCTGAGAAATTTTATGATACAAAACCCAATTTAATATTTATATCTCAAGGCAAATATACCGATATATTACAACTTAAAATTATAAATTATTAAAGCTTACTATTGACCGGTCATAACCCGGGTTTGAACCAGATTGCAAAAAAACCAATTCATTAGAATTTGTTCATTTAGATTCTGACTTGGGTAACAGTTCACGCCAGTGATGTTAAATGACTTGGTCATTTGAATAATTTTAAATGACCTTAAAATATGTAAGTCATTTGAAAGTCATTTTGGTCATTTAAATTTAAATACTATATATTTTTCTAAGATTAGTTTTTATACGTAGTTATAGAATCGTTTAACCAGATAAAAAATTTTCATAACTCCGGGCTGGATTATGTTGATCATAGGCCAGGACAATTTCAATGCCAGCTGAATTAAACACGATTAAAATAATAAATTAAATTATCTATTGTTATGGGCGGGATAACTGCGACTCGGTCGCTCCACAATCCAAGTTCTCGTGTAACCGACGGTAAGTAACCTTACGAAAGAGGCG